TATTGGGGAAATAAATGAGATCTGTGTGGACACATTTTATAAGAGGCGGCTCCTTTTATAGATCTCAATATCTGAATTCAATAGACTGTTTTGTAATTATCCCTTTGGAGTTGCATCTCCCACTGAATTTTAAACTCTTTCAGGTTATATAGTATCTTTGCATCCTTGGTCAGACACATAGTAGTAGTTTAAGAAATATTTCCTTAAAGATTGCCAGTTATTGAAATATAACTTAGTGGAGACTCAAAGTTGTTGAGGAGTATAAAATTCCAATGAAGCAATTCTGGAGTAGGATCATTTAATTTTCTCCACAAAGGGAGTACAGGAGGACAAATATTCCCTTCTACAGGATTTCTTACTTCCTAGGAGGACTTGGCATAATTTGACTCGATGGTGGCCAAAGAGGACTATAAAATTACTACCTTTGTTTATTTGTATTTACTTAGCTCAATTGGCTATGACGCTTCCCAATCTTCTTCATATCATGGCATGCGTAGAAAATGATGATGTTTGTATGGCACACAGAGAACCCAGGTGAGGTTTGATAATAGTGCCTGAGGATGTGACTCTGTATGCTCTGCACTCCTCCCAGCCATCCAAAAGGCTAAGAAAGAACCAAACACCATATTTTGTCACTTGCAATCATTGACGACAAAGCAGTTAAGAAACTCCTGGTTAGAGAATATACTGAATTGCATAGTGTCCCCTCAAATTCACATCTACCCAGAGCCTCGGGACTTGGAAACAAAGTCTTGGCAGATTTAATTAGTTAATACACAGAGAGAACTCTACATGATGGCAGAGGCTGTCAGAAATTTAAGTATCTGCAAACCAGGGAAAACCAAGAATTTCTGGAAACCACCACAAGCTAAGATAGACACATGAAACAGATTCACCCTCACAGTCTCCAGAAGGAAACATATTTGCCAATACCTTGATTTTGTACCCCAGGCCTCCAGAAATGTGAGAGAGAGAAAAACATGTTGTTTTAGCCACTTAATTCATGGTATTTTGTGCTATCAGCCCTAAGAAGGTAATAGTCAGCATAATACAAAATAATCCAAGATCATGGATATTTTTTGCAATGCAAGACCAAGTTTGCCAATGTCTGCCTGTGAAAATTAGATAATCATTTCTCAAAGTCTGGTTTTCAAAATAGCAGCATCAGTGGCATCTGGGAACAAGTTTATAAAGGCAAATTCTTGGCCCAGCCTAGACCTACTGAATCAGAAACTGAAGGTAGGGCCAGCAGTCTGTGGTTTAAAAACCTCTCCAGGGGATTCTAAGTTTGACCCCATTAGAAAATTGTCATGCCTGTTGCAATAGGAGAGAGAGATGGAACTCAACTTTGCTGACACAAAAGATGGAAGCACCTTTAAGTGCTGGGATGAGCTGGTAGAAAAGTATTGCAGGATGTGAGGGGAGGTTGGTGAATGTGACTAGACCATTTGTATTAGCTATTAGGTGCTTAGTGGAAATCAGGCTCTACCTCCCCCCAGAGACTGGGATAATGGGGTACTACTACCTTACCTGATGATTATGTTTCAAAGGGATGGTTTCCAGGTTCTTGAGGAACACATTCCTGGGATGTGAAACTGGCAAAAGGCTTGGAGAACATTGTTTTTCACTCAAAATGGCAGTGTAAAAATTCATAATTGCAAATTTTCTAAAATAAATGATCTAAGTGAGGGGAAGTCAAAGTTTTCAAATCAAGAAAGAACCTGCCTAAGCTGAGAGGAAATTAAGGTGGTCTTGGTCAGTTCACTTCTGCATTTTATCCCCCACATGGGCATTAAAATCAACTTGTCAAGGTGCAAAACACCCTGTTGGAGTTTTTATTAAGATCATTGACTTTGTAAACTTCAGTTAGGCAGTACTGAATGTTTTTCATCAGGGACATGGTCTTTCCATTTTTTCTAGTCTCCGTTCATATTCATATTATTCAGTAAAGTTTTGATGATGTATTTTTTTCCTATAAAATTCTAATAGGCTTTATTCCTAGATACTCAATATTTGGGGCATAGTATTTTTTTTATTACAAAATGTTTAATGGTATAGTATTTTTTAATCATATTTTTTCAAAGGTCATGCTGGTATATTGGAAAATTATTTATTTTGTTGCTGCTGCTTTTATTGGGCTCTTAATAGTTGTAAATATTTTCATTAATTATCTTAATTTTCTAGGGAAATAATCATACCTGAAAATGAAGTCATAGTGACATTCCATTTCAATGTTATGCCCTTTATTTTATAGATGAAACAAAAGGAATACAGATTCAATTTGTTGATTTCTAGTAAGTGATAGATGTGAGATTTTAAGTATCTCTAATTCCAGTGTCTGTTTATGCTATCCTGACAATCAGCTGTTCTTGAGGCTTTCTTTTCCAGATACATTGATTAGTTCTTTAAGTTTTTGTCATTTTGTATGTTAGATTCAATATCTATAAGTGACTCTTTGAAAAAGTAACACAATGAACTCTATGTCAATGAATCCTGATTATTGATTAGAAGCAACAATAGGAAAGGATATAGTTGTTTCACTCAAATAGGCTCATGGTTTGTTGGGTATATTGTTAAATATTTGATGATTGATTAATACATCACCTGTCTCCAACCCCTACAGTCTCCTGCCAGACTTTCAAAAATTTGTGGAAAGATGCAATTATATGAGTATAAATACACATGAAATGAATACATTATTTACAAATATTAAGGCCTTTAAAATATAGGCTATGGTTATGTAGAAACTAATTTGACAATAAACTATTTGTAAAAAAAAAAAAAAAGAAGCAGAAAAAAAAAATAAAATAAAATAAAATAAAATATAGGCTATGGGAGGATTGAACAGAAGTCTTCAGATTGCTTTCAAGTTTCTTTACTATTTTGGGGAGGCTGGTTGCCATGCTGACCACTATTTCACAACTATGCTGTTACACATTAATTATCCTGGAAATGTACATGTGCACTGGATTTCCCTTTTCCCTTTGTTGCTTTGTTTCTAAAGTGCTGAGTTCTGCTAAAAGTTTTGGATTGAGATTAAATTCTGGAAAGCTTTGGCAATGTTGCTGAAACGATATCCAAGTATATAATCCTTTAATGAAACAAGTATAGAGGGCTGATTGATTTATGGAGCAATTTTTTGCATCATTACCTGTCTTGATTGTATACAAATCATTTTTTATTCTCACCGTTTTGAAAGAACCATTTAAATTTAATATGCATATTTTGAATTCTGATATCTTAGTTAGCAACAGGATCCTACAAAAGTTTTTATACAGAATTCTTCTGAAACCCAAGAAGATGTTTATTAATTTTCAGATAATTTAATTGTATTGTCTAAATATGACATTTAACTACAATATACTTCTGACTGCCTCCTCTATAGGAACAGAGCTGGGTTTTCTATTGCTCAGTCTAATTTAAACTGATGCGGCCATAATCACTTTTTTAAAGCATATGTTAAAAAATTCTTCCAGGCTCACAAAAATATGCCCATCAGAGTGATGTTCTGTACTGCATTTTAGAGTTTAATTTTTAAACTAGAATGTAATTTAAAATGAGTATTATTCCTGTAAGAACTACCTTTTCATCTAGCCTGTTCCTTAACTTCCTGGCATGGCTGGAGTTTTTAACACTGACCATGTGGCTTTGATGAGGCTGTAAAATAGAATAGTGCAATTTGGAAAAGACAAGATAGTTATTTTCTTGGCATCTGCTGAGTACCCCTTGTCTGTGACTACTCAGTGAATAAATATTACAACTAATAGAAACCTTAAGCATTTAATATACACATTTGAGTTTTGTGCTTGTTTGCCTTTGTATATTAGATGAACCTAAAAAAGAGCAAACTGAAATCTGTGTTAGTATAGCTCTTGGGGGCTCAGTTGGTTAAGTGTCTAACTCCTGGTTTTGGCTCAGGTCATGATCTGAATGGTTCCTGAGTTCAAGCCCAACGTTGGGCTCCACGCTGAGAACACAAGTTTGCTTCGGACCCTTTCTCATTCTCTCTGCCCCTCCTCCACTCACTTTCTCTCTCAAAATAAATAAATAAACATTAATCTAAAAAATATATCTCTCAGGAACTGTTTTGGTTGATTTCTCAAAGTCAGTCAAAATCAGTTCAATGAAGGCACAAAGTCAAACCAATAATTTGTCATCAAGCAAGCCTTACAAAAGCAATCCTGATACTGAACTTCTCCCTTTATATCTGGTTGGACTACCTTATATTTGTACTGAGGACAATTAGAATTTCTTTCTGTACTGTGAATGCATCTGAGAGGTTTGTACAATACACTATACCATGCATACTATGTATCTGTGATTTAATTTACCCCTCACCACAGTCCTGTAAGGCATGTATTATTACCATTTCATTGATTTAAAAAAAAAAAAGACAAGTTCAATGAAATTGACAGACTTGGCTAGTATCACTTGTGTGGTAAATGACAGAGCTATGATTAGACCCTAAGTTTGACTCCAAAGCTGTGTACTCTTTTCCTATGTCAGATCAGAACTTCTACTACTTGTTTCTACTCTGTAACTAAACATACAGGAGGTGCCTTTCTTACTTTTTTCTAAACATAAAATTAAATTAAAAAGTCTGTGAATGATTTAAAAGAAAAATATGTTTGAATCTAGGTCTGTCACATAAAGATATTGCTTGGCATCCTTCAGAAGCCTGTCAGAACATTCTCAGTTCTAGTGTCTGAGTCACTGCCAAGAGTAAAAACATAAGTTTCAGGTTTAATATCCATGGGTATCACAATAGAGTCCCATGATCAAATTAATGAATAATGGCAAAATAGACACTTCATTTTGTACTATATAGAACAAGACACATTCCTAAAGGGTCAGCAGTACCATTTGTTATATGCAATAGCTTCCCAAGATTCCCTAACATTTTACAGTCAACCATTATTTCTTGAAAACGGGCAATATCTTGTGTATGTTAAGTGAATGACTGTCCTTTAAAAATCTTCTCCCATGAACTATTCCATCAGATTTTACCTTAAAGGCTGGCGACTTTCCTCTCAACCAGAATATACTCTGAGAACTTTTGAGAACAGATAACTCAGACTGCAGAAGCAGAGAAGACAATCTGTGCAACTGTCTCTTGGGAAGATAATTTTACTGCTTACGAACCATCTGGATTGCGTCATTGGTGAGCTAAATGGACATCAATATATTTTTTCTGAATTCTCACACATTTTTGCAGAGGAACAGACATCACAAGGGTTGCAGGCTGATTATTTTGCATCATTTCAAAGTTATTGCATCTCGGTTCAGTCAAGGTACACAGCAGGATGAGTCACTGATATACTCGTTAGTCATTGAACTCTGTTTCCCAAACATGTGACTAATTTTTGTAGCCATCAGTATGCCAGGTATTTTATTTCTTCATTGGTTACATATGTGAGTTATCTCTAACATTTAACATTTTATTTACTTTCTTTGTTTTTTATAATGTTTTATCAAAGGCCCACTCTCAGAGAGACATGCATGTATTTGTTAGTTGAGTTTTAGATTCCTATTCAGTTGTGAGGCAGATGGGGGTATGCTTGTGTGTGCAGAGGGCTATGGATATGTTGGATAAAGGTCATGTGCTATACATCATTTTTTAATTTTTAATTTTTTAAAGTTTATTTTTAAGAGAGAGAGCACACAGGAGGAGTGGAGAGAGAAATATAGATGGAGAGAGAGAGAGAGAATCCCATGCAGGCTCTGCACTGTCAACACACAGCCTGACACAGGGCTCAAACTTGTAAACTGCGAGATTGTGCCCTGAGCCAAAATAGATGCTTAACCAACTGAGCCACCCAGGTGCCCCAAGGTTATGTGTTATACTTGAGTTGATGTTTTACTTATTCTCTTATTTTCTTCACCATATTTTATACCAGAATCTCAGAACATATTCTAATTTCTCCAAATATAGGAAGAAAACTTGACCAAGCAAACTCTTTTATGCTAAGACTGAAAGAAGTTTATTAGAAGAGATGGATTGACTAATTTAAGTTTCTGTTTCCATGAAAACAACTATTTAATTGGAAAGTTACCTTATCCCTGTAGCAAACACTTTCTGGTCATCTCTAGTTTTTAACAAGGCTCCAGTAATTTTATGACAGTCATTGAACTACAGGACACTGTTTTATTGAAGCATTTTATGTGATAATGCTACCTCTAAAATGAGGCTAAAAATTTTTGTTTAATCTTTACCAATCTAATAAATGTATTACGAGAGTAAAATTCTATATGAAAGAGTTATAACACTCTATTGCTATTTGACACCTTTCTTTGTTGATAAATACTAAAAGGGGGAAAATATCTGTCTTTTATCCATAAGAGAAAAGATAATATAGTGTCATTAGTCTACAATATAAGATTACAAGTGTTGAATTCTTTCATTTTGGATCATTAAAAACATTTTCTGGAGAGAAGTTAAAGATAGAATTTGCTCTGAACACGTGTAATACAGGTTATGAAAGTAAAAGAAATCGAACTATTTGTATACATGGGCATTTGTATTTGTAAATATGCTATGTAATCAGTGTACTAAAAGCCTAAGAGACATCAAGGTAAGTATAACTGTAGGAAAAGAGGTAAGAACCCAGTGGGTCCTAAATCTAGGTCACTGGAGTTCTAGAAATCAGCTCTTCTCTGGATGTGTTTCTCCACTCCATTACAAATATTTATGACTTTACTTTTAAATATTATTTTGATTTCTGCTAACACACTTGGGAAAGTGGCAGAAGACAGTGTGTTTAAAGATGATGAAATCATCTCCTTCATGCAATATTTTTTTAACATAAGAAGTGAAAAACAAATGAACCAAAAGGTATTTGTTTTCTTTAAACTGAGAGTGCTGGAGATTCTTTTCAAGCATGATTTCAACAATAAGCAAGGGCTATCTCAGTCCTTTAAAGATGATAAAGTTGGTGTCGTCAAAAAATGTGCTGGCATTTTTCTGCTTACTAAATGCCAAGAAAACACTAAACACACTGTTACTATCCAAATCCTCACCGACTACTATTTAAAATAAGCAATGGACAAAGAATTGCCATTCGCATGGTATGTGTGCCGGAGAACATCCAGGAACAGTCACTGACTGTTCATGATTACACTTGTTACAAAATTGGCTATTTCATACCTGGGGACAACTTTGATTTCAATATTCCCTTTCATTAAACAATGTCCCTGAGAGGGTTCTGGCAATAATTAAAGTGGGTCTTCCATTGTACCCATGTTTCAGTATATGTGAGAATTATTCCCTGTAGATCTTGCTGCTCCATATAGGTTTGACATAGGGAAAACAAAGAAATGGTATGGACACTTGGGGGCCTTTTAGGCGTGGAACAAAAGAAGGTATAGATGCTGTGTAAACATTTCAGAGTAAGGAGATACTGTTAGTTTAATAATAAAATGCATAGCTTTGAAATTAAGCAAGCTGAATCCCTAGTTCTACTGCATTTTAATATATAAACTTGTACAAGTTAATTACTCTCTCTCATAGTCTCAGTTTCTTCACCTGTGAAATGACCTTATAATAGTTACCTGTCTCATAGGAATGTGATAAATATAAAGGAGGTTTTTTTCTCTTAATGTTTATTTATACTTGTGGGAAAGACAGAGTGTGAGTAGGTGAGAGGCAGAGAGAGAAAGAGACACAGAATCTGAAACAGGCTCCATGCTCTGAGCTGTCAGCACAGATCCCAACGCGGGGCTCAAACTCACAAGCCATGAGATCATGGCTCCATGGTGTCAGCACAGAAACCGATGTGGGACTCCATCTCATGAATTGAGAGCTCATGACCTGTGTCAGGATCAAGAGTCAGATGCTTAACTGACTGAGCCATCCTGGCACCTCATGGTCTCTTGTATTTAATAAGGAACTTTATAAAATAACAAAAGGGATACATTGATTCAAACCAAATGAAGATAAGTAGAAAACATTTACATTGTTTATGAGTTATATTTTATGTATTAATACAACAGAATGAATCTACTGGTCTCATTGGTACATATATCTGTTTTTTTTTTTTGGAGACAAAATGGTTGAAAACTGAAGGTGACTCTTCTGGTGATTTTTTAGAGACTTTTGGGCTAAATAGGAAGATTTGGGAATAGGCAGAACTTCTGGCACCTCTCAGATAATACCACTTTATTAGTCACCTGTTTGTTTATGCCTAAAATATTAGATGGAAATACAGCAGAGGCAAGATAGGGTTACAGAGTTTCTAATTCCATCCTCATTTTTGAAGCTCAGTATATTTCATGTTTTACAGCATTAGGCCTTGATATCTACAAATCATCCTTAAAAGTTCTACTTCTTATAAGAAGATAATATAGTAAGGATGGAATGATGATCATAGCTAAAAGAGAAGTTTTTTTTTTTTTTTACAAATAGTTTATTGTCAAATTAGTTTCCACATAACACCCAGTGCTCATCCCCACAAGTGCCCTCCTCCATGCCCATCCCTCCTCCCCCCCACATCCATCAGTCCTCAGTTTTTGTCAGCATTCAAGAGTCTCTCATGGTTTGCCTCTCTCCCTTTCCCCCACCATTTCCCCCCTTCTTCTCCCGGTTGGTCCTCTGTTAAGTTCCTCCTAGTCCTCCTATACGTGCACACATATGATATTTGTCCTTCTCTGCCTGACTTATTTCGCTCAGCATAACACCCTCAAGGTCCATCCATGTTGCTACACATGGCCAGATTTCATTGTTTCTAAAAGAGAAGTTTTGACATTATCTGTAGCAAAAACAGTCTCAACTTTTGTATCTACAACTTGTTTGCTGTTTAACAGTTGGCTAAGTAGTTTTTTTCCCTTAAATTAGGACAAATGACTTGAACTTTCATATTGCTTTTTATATTTAGTCATTTGCCTTATATTCTCTTTATTTTAATAAAATGTATTTTAATTCCAGAATTATGTTTCACTTAATCATCTCTCCTCCCTAGAAATACCCTGTAAAATAACCTTTTTTATTATTATGGAGGTATAAGAATTTATGGGTAAAGGTTCTAAAATAGATCTCATGTCAACATGGCAGACTGAGCTGGGAAGTCTCCGTTTTTCACTTCAGCCATAGATTAGGTTGATCACTAGACGACAATAATATAGAAGTAGTGTAGGATGGGAGATCAGAGTTGAAGTAATCTAAGGTCCTTCAATTATTCAGGAAGAGAATAGAGATATTGATTAACTTTAAATCTTGTTAAGTATCCATGTTAAAAATTTAAAGTTAGCTATTTAAGGAATAAAAATAGAGTGCATAATTTCTAAATAAAGGTGGCTTGGAAGAATTAAAAAAAACTCAGCAAACTCAATCCAACTGATTGTAGAAAAGACAAAAATATAAGCAAAAAATGGTAAATAAAAGACAAAAAATTAATGATGGTAAAAGCAAAACTATTCAGAGATTAGATTACATAAAAATAATTAAATTATATAATATAAAGGAGTATGCATAAAGGAATATAATTCAGAAATATTAGAATATAGAAATTAAAAAAAGAGGTACTGAGAAGTAGTAAGCAAAATAAAGCTGGTGTACCAATATAAATATCAGACAAAATACAATTTAACACAAAACCATTGACAGGAGTGGTGTCAGTACATGGCAAAGGAAATGTTTCACCATGAGTATAAAATGATACTCTTATGGGCAAAGACAACATAATCTCAAATATAGAAAGCAAATATTTATTTCATTGCAAGGAAAAATATTTAAATATCTCATAATTAATACTAGAAGACTTGTATATTCTCTCATTAGGCAAAAATGAGTATAAAAACTGAAAATTTGAAGAACTCATTATCAAATATATGAACCCTATAAATTGAAAACATACTTTTCAACAGCACATATGAATCATTTACGATTATTTTTCACATACTAGGTTACAAAGGATGTCTTTAGGAATTCAGAAGAGTATAGAAATGTCCCATATCATAAAATGAATTTGAAAGAATAATATGAATGAAAGAGAAAATTTAAAACTAGCTCATTATCTCATCATCCAGACATAAGTATTATTAGTATTTGATATGTAGATGTTAGTATTCTTATGTAATTTGTGGCAGAGGCAGCTAAATATTCCCAGAATCCATTCTCCTCTTCCTTGTTTCCCTTTAGAAATAGACCATCACTCTCTTTTCAGATTTTAAGAGGGCAC